GACAACTTGGAATATGCATGAAATTTTAAAAAATACTGTCTTCCTTATATATAAAAATAGATGAGTGGGTCCACTATTTATTTACTAGCTGTGTGAATTTAATCAGATAACTTAGATACTCAGCGACTCTCTTCATCTGTGAAATGGACATAATAATGACATCTCACAGGTCTGTGATGAGAAAAGTTAGTTAATGAGCAAAACAGAATAATGCCTTGCACAGTTGTTAGCACTTGATGTTCGCTAGAATTATTATTTCTTCTACTTACTGTTATACTTTCCACAGGTATGTTAGAACACAAATTAAACTGATTATTTTACAGACTCACACCCTGGCCCTGCTTCGTTAACAAATAAAAAGGGATGCACTCAAAATGAAAGGGGCTGTTGGAGTAATCATGAAGATGACATCCCACTTTCATAAATTCTCTTGTGAGAATTGGAAGGAAAGAAAAAGAAGCCTCTAAGGTACTGGAATCGCTATTTGTATAGAACTTGTGCTTACTTAGACCAAATTACTCATATTTTATGGACATGTCTAAAACAATTCTTTGTTTCAGGGCTTTCAATCTATAGCCAATAAAAGAAGATCGTTTTTAAATGCTCCATGTTCTAGGAGCTGGGCCAGGGACCTTACATGAGCTATTTTACTTCATCTTTGCAAATCACTATAAGGAAGTACCTTAGTTTTCTATTGCTATAACTAATTACCACAAATTTAGTGACTTAAAACAATACAAATTTATTTTCTTCCAATTCTGGACATCAGCAATCCCAAATCAGTCTCTAAATGGACTGAAATCAACGTGTTGGCAGGCTGGCTTTCCTCCTGGAGGTTCGAGGGGAGAACCTCCTTCCTTGCCTTTTCCAGCTTCCAGAGGCGACAGCATGTTTCAGCTGGTGGCCCCTTCCTCTGCCCTCAAAGCACATCACTCCAACTCTGCTTCAGGTTTTGTACCTTCCCTCTATTACTCTTGATCCTTCTGCTTCCTGCTTGTGTGGATCCTGGGATTACACTGGGCCCACCCGGATGATGCAGGATAATCTCCCCATGGCAAGATCTTTAATAGAATCACATCCACACAATCCCGCTTAACATGTAAAGTAACAGATTCACAGGTGCTGGGGACGGGGCCCGACATCTTTGAAGGCAAGAGATTGTTTTCTAACCTACTACAGGTAGATACTGTTACATTCATTTTACAAATAAGGAAAAAATGTAACAACTCCTAACTATTAATAAGTTGAGAATCAAAAATTCAAAAAGGTTGAATAATTTACTCAAATTCACAAAACCAAAAAGTGGGCACCAGCATGATAACACAGGTCCTTTTGACCCTAATGCTGTTCCCATTACACAGTTCTGCCCCCAAAGTTAGAAAAAAAGAGACACTAATGAGCTCATCTACAAAACAGATAGACTCACAGACTTAGTAAACAAACTTATGGTTACCAGGGGCAAAGGGGGTGGGAGGGGATAAACTGGGAGTTCGAGATTTGCAAATATTAACTACTATACATAAAAATAGATTTAAAAAAATTTCTCTGTATAGCATAGGAAACTATATCCAATGTCTTGTAGTAACCTATAACAAAAAAGAGTATGAAAACTAATATATGTATGCATTTGTACGACTGAAACATTTTGCTGTTTACCAGAAAATGACACATTGTAATTGACTATACTTCAATAAATAAATAAATTAAATAACCATATGTCAAAAAAAAAGATAAA